CTGTTCTGTTTTAATTTATGGCAGCGAAACATGGCCATTAAGAGTAGAAGACCACAGATGCCTTAGAAATATTTCTGGCGTCTGCTGGGTAAGTAATAGTGAGGTTAGACGCAGGGTATTAGAGAATGATGGTAAATCAGTTGATGAGGTTATGAATCTTCATCGACTGAGATAGTTGGGCCACGTGTTACTTATGCCTGAACACCGATTACCACGACATGCAATGCTATCCGGTATTGGAGATGGTTGGAAGAAAGTTAGGGGTGGCCAAACCAAAACGTGACATCAGTGCTTGAAGTCACTAACTTCTAGTCTGAGCCGTGTTGGTAGATGCAGAGTCCTTGGTTGGGGTCCGCGTGACTATCGTAACCAATAGTTGGAGACTCTTGGTGACATGGCTCAGAATCGATCACAATGGCGTCGGTGTATACACTCCCTGTCTTCCCTTAAACTAAGAGATTAAAATCGCTTCATATCTTTCTTTCTACGAACCAATTTTTCTTCTTGTACTATATCTCTATTCACCCTCTTTTATACCTATACAGCGGCTCGTCTTTGGTGGAAATTCGACTGTATCTAAACGTTCTCCAGTCACTGTCCGGTTGAAAATTGTATGTTACCACCGAATACGAGAACTGAAGCAGTTTTTCTGAAACCACGTGCACCATTCAAACTGGCTGCCTTCAACGTTCGCACATTTATGCAGGTCGGACAACAGATAGGGCTGGCTATGTCTTTGGAAAGTCTTAATATTGATGTTTGTTTTCTATCCGAGACCCGTATTCAAGACTCTGGCAAAGTACTACAAATTCGATCTCCATCTGTCGCTTCGAAAAGCTTGTTTTACGTGCGCTTATCCGGGAACCCTGTGGCATCTTCGTCTAGTCTTGCTGGCGTTGGTGTCACACTAAGAACTGAGAAGCCTGGTGATCGAAGCGTGCTAATGAGCTGGAAGCAGCAGCTGCATCTGGTAACTACCGGAAGCTCTTCCAATTCATCCGAGCCACTGGCAGCAAGAAGTCTGGTGTGAGTGAAACAATCTGCGAGGATGATGGGATGCCAATCACTAACATCCATCGACGTCTTAGACGATGGGCAGAATTTTTCGAAGGGCAGTTCAACTGGCCTGCTGCTCCGGCAACATCGGTCAGACTGTCCTGCCCTCCATGGCCGGTGACGACTGATCCACCAAACGAGGAGGAAGTCCGCAAGGAACTCCAACTCTTGAAGCGTTACAAATCACCTGGCCCAGATGACTTACCTCCGGCTCTTTTTAAAGATGGTGGTGACTTTTTGACTAAGGAATTGGCGATTTTGTTTACAAAGGTTTGGGAACTAGAGAGTGTACCAACGTCATGGAATGAGTCGATAGTTGTCCCCATCTTTAAAAATGGTTCACGTCGTTCCTGCAACAACTATCGCGGGATAAGTCTACTTCCGATTGCGTCCAAGCTACTGGCTTCTGTCATACTTCGTAGGTTGTTCAAAACCCGAGAAAGATTGACTCGCGAGGAGCAGGCTGGGTTTCGTTCTGGTCGAGGATGTATTGATCATATCTTCACCCTTCACCAAATGTTAAAACATCGCCATACTTATCAAAGGCCAACAATCGTAGTGTTTCTTGACATCAGGGCTGCCTTCGATTTGTTGGACAGGACTGTTCTTTGGGATTGTCTGTTGAAGAAGGGTGTGCCTGAGAAGTTTATTAACATCCTAAAAGCCCTATATAAAAACACCTCAGGCAGAGTGAGGGCATACAACCACCTCTCTCCATTGTTCCATTCGAGCAGTGGGGTTAGGCAGGGTTGCCCAGTCTCACCATTCCTCTTCAACTTTGCCATCGATGACATTCTGGAAACAGCTCTGATGAATGTAAGTAATGGTGGTGTGGATCTGTTGCCTGGAGAAAGACTTCTCGACCTTGAGTATGCGGACGATATTGTCTTACTGTGCGATAATGCCCAAGGCATGCAATCCGCACTTAATCAGTTGGCAATCAGTGTCCGTAGGTATGGTATATGCTTTGCACCTTCGAAGTGCAAAGTACTTCTACAAGACTGGCAGGATTCTAATCCTGTACTCACCCTGGATGGTGAGCAGATAGACGTAGTTGAGAAGTTCGTGTATCTGGGTAGCTGCATAAGTGCTGGTGGGGGTGTGAGTGATGAGATCAATGCACGAATAGTGAAAGCCAGAGCGGCTTATGCCAATCTGGGCCACCTTTGGCGCCTTCGTGATGTTAGTCTGGCTGTAAAAGGTCGGATCTACAACGCGTCGGTGAGAGCAGTTTTGCTCTATGCTTGTGAAACCTGGCCTCTCCGAGTTGAGGACGTTAGACGACTCTCTGTGTTCGATCATCGCTGTCTCCGAAGGATTGTTGACATTCAGTGGCAACACCATGTCAGTAATGCAGAGGTTCGGCATCGTGTGTTCGGGCACAGAGATGATAATTCAATTTGTGTTACCATCTTAAAACACCGACTTCGGTGGCTTGGACATGTTCTCCGAATGTCGTCCCAGAGAATTCCACGTCGTGCATTATTTGCCGACTCTGGGACTGGTTGGAAGAAGCGGAGAGGTGGTCAGTGCATGACATGGTGTCGTGGCATGAAAGAAAGCTGCAAAGGACTGGCTTGTGTTGGTCCTTCACGACTCCCTGGTTGGGGTCCGAGAGATGGTGCTACACAGTGGCTAGAGACGTTATCAGATATGGCTCAGAATAGAAGCCAGTGGCGATCCTGCTGTAACCTTCTTTTACTTTCTTCATAAAAAGTGGTTCTGTCTCCCTTACCTGAAAGCTTTCTTCTGATTGTACTATTTCGTTCCGTCGTTACTACCACACTACCTTACTCCAATCTCTTCGTCATTGTTCTCTTTTTCTTTTGCGTTCCTTAGTTTTTTTTTCTCTTTCTACTTCTCTTCGAATTCCCATTGTTTTGTGTGGCGCATATATATTGGCTCTCTCTTGTACCAATATTTATTTGTTCAAATAAATAAATAAATAAATAATCTCTATATGCAATCTTTCTCTTATATATTATCACCTTTGATCTAACCACTGCTATGAATCCGGTGTTCATCTTGTTGTGCTGATGCGGTATGGCAACCTGGACCGATGCACATATGTGCCTGGTCCTACCTTGTAGCTGACTGACTGACTATCAATGAAGCAGAATCTGTCTTAGATTCCTTGGAAAATAAGATATGTATTAAATTTTTGACATTAGTCACGGCATGGTAGGTTACTATTCAATCTTACTTAACATTGCGATTCCAACCTCGTAATCGTCAATAAGATCGAACATGCATTTAGACAGAATAGATGACGAAGGAGGCTATGTTGTTGTTCTTTCATAGAGTTTCTATGTTCATCAGCTTCTTTGTCTTCAAAAGGAAGGTAAAGTGAAAGCTCCCAAAATACAACTGAAATGAGTTTTCTCTATTATATTTCGGAAGTTCATTAGAAAGCCTGTATTCATTAATATGGGGGGCATGCTTACTATTTCACAAACTTGGGAGTAGATGAGAGTATTAATGAAGTTAATATTCGGGCACTTAAGTAGTGTGCAATCCGACTGCATTCTTTTCACATCAATTCCAGCTGGTGTACCAATGTAGCCTTTATTTTTTATCTTGAAATTGATTACGCTGAAGAATTGCTTGGTATTTGTTTGAGTTATCTAAAAACGGAAGACTATCCCCTTACTGTGATAAATAATTGTGTATTTTACGTAATATCAAAAACGAATTTTTAATCTTGGAATCAGCGGTTTATATAGCAATTTTCCATGCAGTTTTACACGATCTAGAAATTCGAAAGTTTTGTCTAATATGAGAACCATCCATAGATTTGTATTCTGATAGTCCTTTAAGCATACATAGATAGCCAGTTCTTAGTTATTAACAGTAACTTTCTTTCTTACCTAGTATCGATTGCACAATCCCCCTAACTTCCATACAAAAAAGATCATAAACTTTAGTGTAGCACTAAATACTTAGCCTTAAACTGTTTTATTCAAGTTTATGCAGCAGATTGACAAACGTTTTCAACCTTATGAATAGGCACATATTTGCTTTTATAGCTGATTATAAGACCAGCTGTATGGTCAGCCGATTATGTCATCTAACATTGGGATATTTCAATGTCTCATCTAAATCTTTTTCTGCAGTATTTCTACTTTCTTGTCAGGCTAAAAGATGGTACTTCATAATCACCCTCACTGCTAATCTTCCGTAATGCACGGGTTCTCATCTCAATGCTTCCCGATAAATCTAGAAAGCTATATTCCTATGTTGAATTGTCGTAGTTGTTTTTTGGTAGGCCAGCAAGGTAGGAGACTTCGCCAATTTTTCAGGGTGAGGTCCTTCGTAAATATTGTAGAAAGGTTCTGAATAGCACATGGGCTATTCACTCTAGTGTTTTTTTTAAAGAAAAACAGTATATCTGATAGTTTAAAGTAATTATTCCTTTTAGTAAGTTTGAACGAAATATATCAGAACTGTGTGGTATATTAGCCTAATACTTTTCAAATAATCCGATTACGTATACACTTGTTAAAAGCATTTATATATAAATGCAAAAGGTCGACTAGACAAATGGAGAGTGAAAGCAAACAAAGATAATAAAGAAAATGGTGTGAAACTCACCACGTTGGATAATAAACTAATACTACCAGGTTATGTTTGAGGTGAAAACAAACTGTAGTGTTTACTTAGATCTATGTCTGGGAGATTTTTACGGGAATCGGATTTTATCAAATTAGGTTCTAGTGATTGAAAGTTTCAAGTTCTCTGTGTTGGAATACTTTCAAGCTTTTCCTAATCAAGTAGATATGGTTTGCTCGATTTAACACGAAATGCATTTTATAGTGATGATAGTAATAATAACTGGGAATCAAGAACGGATGTGAAATCTCACGAAATTTTCTTTATAATGATGTATTACTTTTTGATACTTGATTTGAAAACGTGTAATTATATCAACCCTTATTTCTCTTCAGCAAATAGTATTTGAACTTTACCGTGGTATGTCAAGTCTTGATATGTAAGTCAGTCTCTTCAGAATTACTTTTATTACATTCAAGCCCAGCAGATTTGTTTAAAAAGTTGGTTAGTGTTCTAACCACTTGGCTAAAGACATTAGATGGTGAGTATTGTGTGTATTTCTGGCTAATTTTTATAAACATATTAGAATTTACTAAGAAAGAAGAGGAGTTCGTTAATACTTCACGAAATTTACGAAATTCTAGTGTCGATCCCAAATACTGGGCTACAACAAGTGAATTAGCGTACTCAGTGGGGAATATATGCGAATGTTATGTATATATTTCTAATCTTAATATTTATATTTCAAACTTAGAAAAACACAAACCAACAAACACTCCTGGAACCTTTGAAAAAGTAAGAGTGATTTCCGGATGTATTTTCTAGAATTTGTGGCATACTACCCTCTATAAACGACATTTTTGTTGAGAGGGAAGAAATTCTAAAAGAAATCAACCGGAAATGTCGAAAAATTCGGAAACCAGAACTCCCAGAGAATGGAAATGAAATTTCAGGAAGGAATAAAAAGGTAACATCAATTTTACTGCTTATATCTCCAGATTTCACAATCAGTTGATTCGTTAACAAGTCGTTTACACGCTATTGAATACATAATAAACGTCAATTTGGTAGATCTCACTTCAACGTTAGAAGTTTTTTTATCGTCATCCTTCCATGTAAGTATCTAATTCATTTTCTCATCTCTTTCACCAGCACTGATAATTTATTTCAAAGAAGGAATATTGTTAAAACGTCATATTTAGTGAAACAATGACTAAATGCATTTTTATGTATCCGGCCACGTATTTTATCTGAAGCCCAACAAATAGTACACAGTTATTTAGACTAAACGAAGTAAGTCGGGGTTCAGACCTACGGCCAACATATATTTAATATATTACATTTTAACAGGTGAACAGAAATCTGAACAGAAGTGGCTTATGTTTGTTGGCTATCAGTAAAACGTCTTTCTATATTTTTAGATTTAATTTTAGAACGTTCTGTAAATGAATTATGTATGAACAGCAAAATATTGCGAAATTAGTGATTTCTTAGATAAGAACACTCCGTTTTTATGACAGTGAAGAGTTTCATCAAATGATCAAAAATATTTAGTTGCTCATCTCATAATAATAATTCACTGTGTTGCGTGTTAATAGAGAAACTGAAGGCAGTTTGAGGAGGGAAATAACCGATTATCTTAGTTTGGCAGACAAAAATACGATTGCATCGGTGGAGTAGATAATGTCATGAAGAAGAAATTTATTCGCTGAACCGCCTTAAATAGTTCTATGTAAATTTTGCTACTGTTTAGATTCAACAGAATCGTAAAATTAGAACCTCCGTTATTCCTGGTGAACCAATCCATCTAATGTATTTTGCACATCGAGTTTACTGACAAGAATAGAAATCGAGGGGTTGTATCTGAATATCATGTTAGTTAAAGATAGTTAAAATGTACTTTCTAAACATTAAGTGATTAGTACTTTTTCGGCTTCAAATTGTTTTAATGCCTTTTCTGTTAAACTAGCCGAAATTTGCTAACTTAATACTTTTAAAACTGTACAAATATTTGGTTGTGTTTTGTATTTGAACCTCCATATGAGAAGTCAGTCATTTATTGAGTAACTTAGTACAAAACTAATAAAATAAGGAAGATTGATTCATCGAAGAGTCCATTATGTCAAATTCATTTTTGAAGCTATACTGTCGCAAATATATACTTATTAATCAAAATGATAAATAATAACAATAATAGTGATAAAATTTTGATAAATTTTGTATCAGTGAAGTTCAATAAGTAAAGGCAGCAAAACGTTATTTTGTCTGGAGACCTTTTAACTCCAATTGATTTGTCTCTATTTCTATACTCTTCCTGATTACAGTTCATCTAAATTTCAAATTTTTCGTCTTATCACTTGGAACTTTCCCTATTGATCCTCATGGTCAATACTCAACCTCTCAACAACAACATTACTATCAGATACCTTAATAAAAATAATATTTTTATGCCTTCATTTGTTTTATCTCACTATTACCATGTTTAGAAGAATTTAATTATCAATCTTACTGTTATTATTATTATTATTATTTTGTGAAATAAGTATTTATTTGTGACTGTACGGCTTTGAATATGAATTCGCTGTAAAGAGAAATTTCCGAACCAATCTTTTTTTGTCTCAATGTGTATATTACCTTTACAAAATTAATACACTAAAAGAAATTATAGTTTAAAATGATTATTTTATTAGTGACACACTCTTTAAATAAAATGACCTGATCAATGTTTTTTTATAGTCTGTAGAAATAGGTAGTACCTTCTTAATTCAAAATAAAATCAGAAATTATCGAAATCCAAACAATCGTATTGAATAGTGTGGTACTTATATATGACAAAAAGTTTTACATGTTTGGAATATAAAAAATCTCCCACGAAAATATCGTAATAATATTGTGAAAAATAAATACACCATGGGTAGTATAATCGACTAAGAAATGAACAAAAATAATATTTGACAATATAAACTGCATTTGAGAAATACAGTTTAAGAAACCCACTCAGTTAAGGTAGTTTTTATATATATATATATATATATATACCACATTTACGCACTTTTCCACTCAGTCCCAGTATCGACAAAGAGTGTGACAGTCGGTGGGGTGACATTCATAAAACATAGCTAAATCACCGAAGTCAGTGTTTTAAGTTGGTGACACTGATTGAATTGTCATCACCGTCTGAATACACACTACTGGGCCCATGTATTACTAACACAATGTTGTCACTAAATGTGAAAAGCAATAATCAAACACAAGGTTGCTGAATTTCTTGAACTTGGAGGAGCCAGGTTTTACATTGATAAACTAAAACTACTCTGATTAACACACTGTAAACCAGAATTTTTACAGCTAAAATAACATCACATCAACGCCAAAGTTAACTCATTATGTCATAAACCGTTCTGGTTCACGCTGTACCTACATGCGCGAACTTTACAAACATTTCTAATGGTTCACTATAAAAAGTGTACTTGCAGGCTGCTATAAGTCTTGTGGGTTTACTCTAGATTTTGAAGATTCATATACTCTGTACCTAAGGACACTGATTACCAACCATTTATGATCAAGTTGGGCAGCATGCGTATCATCATACAGTGAGATGATGTTCACATAATCAGAGTCGAAGTCTATATTATGTACCTTTTGTTTTGAGTTATAGTTTGACTGAAGTTAGGAAGATATATATCGCCGGTTTCTAACTTTAAATGAGTATAGTGGTAGCATGCATGTTACCTACATCACTTGACAGCGATAAGCTCAAACCTGTGTGGAATTTGCATTGATCATTTCTAACTCAAAATAAAGTGAAATACCTGTCCAGTTTCCCCTGATTTTCAATTATTCTCTAGATTGTATTGGTTCAAGCGGTAGAATAGTTTTGGATTTAATATGACTCATTTTTCACAACAGGTAGATAATATCAGTATTAGAAATCGACACGTGCACAACAAGTCTTACTTAATGCCGATCGAGTGATATCGACCAACTTGCAGCATTGTGATATCGTATGCATGTTGAGTTGCACAAGATTTCGAGTCACGTAGACTAGTGACCACGCTGCAACTTGATCGTAAGAATTAGGTTAGCACTAAGAACTTATTGGTCGATCAATTGTCAACATATGCATTCTTTTGTTAGACTTATTTTCACAGTTATTATGAACTCAAATGTTTTTTTCAAATACATAAATACTAGGCTCATCTCGATTGCACTTACGAATTTTTCCAAAAAGCATCGATAGTCAATCAACAAATGTCAGATTTATTGAATACTGGTGAAAGTGAACTCAGTCTGTTAGATAAAAAAATGGACGAGGATATGAACTCCATATACAAGCTTTTACATCTGAAATCTGAAAAATAATTAATTCTTGATTTGTTAACATTTTGTTGGTTCTATTTTCCTCAGAATTTTATTGGTATGGTGCAATCTAATTTGGTTTTTTTTATTAAATACAATTATTTTAAAAGAGGTAGATTGTTTTCTGCTTCCTAACTTACCTCACTAATGTTCTAACTGTAGTTTTCTTTTAAATTGATGAAAAACCACACAACATATGAGTTTTGTTAACTTGTTGAACAGACTAGTTCAGATTACTACTTCAAATGGACATGGATAATAATCGATTATCCGATATCCTGAACACCTGATTGTCTTATTTACTTGGTAATCAAGTTATGTGATATATTACTTACGCCTGTTACCCCTCATGGATGAGCATAGGCTACCCACCAGGACTTCCCGTCAAACTCCGTCCCGAGCAATCCTTCCCAGTTGCTATTCTTTTTCATGTCTGCTTCCAATTCTCGGAGCAGTGTGTACTTTGGCCTCCCTCCTTTTCGTTCCCCTTCAAGATTCCAAGTTGGCGTTTGCCTCGTGGTGCAGTCTGATGATTTCCACAATGTGTGTCATAACCACGTCCAACATCTTTTCCTAGTTTCTTGTTCAGCCGGTAGCTAGTTTGTTCTCTCGCACAGTAGGTTTTTGCAGATGGTATCCGGCCAAGACATTCAGTATCTTACGTAGACAATTGTCTATAAATGCTTGTACATTTTTGATAGTGGTTTCAACTCCGTACAGTAGAACTATCTCTACGTTTGTAATGAAGATTCTGACTTTGATATTGACTGGCATTCGTTTTGAGTTCCATATGTTCTTCAACTGTATGAATATTGTTCTCACTGTGCTAATCATTGCCTTTATGTTCTCATCGGATCCTCCTTGTCCATCGATGATGCTGCCCAAATGGGTGCGTGAATGTTTTTACCTCTTTCAGAGTTTACTCGTCAAGTGTGGTTGGATCGGTATTCTCCCTGTTGTATTTGAGGATCTTGGTTTTCCTCGTGTATTTTGAGGCCTACCACTGATACACTAATTATCTGTACTGCATTTTTCTCGTGTTTATCGGATAGAAGAGCTAGATCATCTGCGAAGTTCAAATCGCCTAGTTGCATCCAACCTGTCCATTTTATTCCGTGCTTCCTGTCAAATGTCGGTTTTCATAATATAGTCAATTACCAGAGGAAGGGCGAGAGTATGCAGTCGTCTGACCCGCGTCCTCACTTGGAATACTTCTGTCAGCTGTCCTCCAATCACTGTAGGCCGTCGTATGAATTCCTCATGTTGACGAATATGACTTTATTTGAAAGTAGTCAATATATTAACACTATAGTATTGAAAACGAAGTTTGTTTATATTAATGAACTCGAAATCTTAAGTAACCTCACCACTGAGACTGATTACGTACGTATGTCTAATGACAGTTGTCACTGCCTAAGCTGAAATCCTCAGTTACTCAAACCCGTTTGCATTTACATAGGAGTGGGCGGGTAATAATTAGTCGACATTTAAATACTCGCACCTAATCATACATTTAATCCGTACAATATGGACTCAGTAGTTGGGAAGCCTATCGAATTTTTACTACTACGGAAGCTGAGTTTGCGCACTATTTCAGCTATCTCGACTTAACAAAGGAACTACAGCAGTTTACGTACGAAATGTCGACTGATTAACAAACCCTAGCAGAACAAACTATTTCGATAATTGATGTTTTTTCACAAAATCCAGCGAAGTCGTACTGCTGACTGTAGAGAGGTGTGACAGCAGTAAGGTGTTTTCCTCGGACAACCAGCATGACAGCGATGCTGCCTTCCCACAAGGAGGGGTGGGGTTAGAAAAGGTCGACCCTAAAAATGTCACACCTCACCTTACCTCACGGATCTCCGTCTCCGGCGGTAAGACCCTTTGAAGAACGGAGCTAACACGTCAAAAAAACCCACGAAAAGGCCGTGCGCGACCGGCCTCAAGCAGTTGTCCCTTGGGCTCTGCGGTCACGCTCCCAGGTCGTTAAGACCAACACTAATCCAATTTCCTTTTCAGGTTCCTCAAGAAATACCCTTCCACGGTGTGGGCAGCCGGGAAGAGACACCAGCCCTCATACCCGTAACAGCACACGAGACCAAGCTGGTCACATTCAAATCCTTCCTACACCTCCTAATACCTCTCTTATCTCTATGACTAACCCTCCTCACGTCTCTTTATCACCTCGCACCGCTAGAGCAAACGATTCGAGTACGTGGAACGCTATTCCTGGTCTCCTGAAACCACGCTCTAAACTACACGTAGGAGCTTTTAACGTACGAACACTTTGCCAAATAGGACGGCAGGCTTCCTTAGCTAAAACTTTAGAATCTCGCGCCATCGATGTGTGCTGCGTCTCCGAAACGCGCAGACAGGATCCAAGTAGCGTCATTCATTTGACCTCACCATGCCAAAATAAAGAACCGACTCGATTTACGCTTCGTGTATCTGGAAGCCCTGATTGTGCATCCCGTTGCCTCGCCGACGTAGGTATAGCATTGAGTCCTAGGGCAGAACTAGCTCTCTTAGAGTGGATCCAAGTAGACAGTCGTTTGTGCGCTGTCCGACTGAACGGAACAGTAAGAATCCGGAAAGATAGGGACACTCGTCGTTGCCTCTTCGTCGTCTCTGCCTATTCTCCCACTGACTGCAGCTCAGATGATGTAAAAGATGAGTTTTACAGAAAGCTTTCGGACCTTCTCCGAAAAGCTAAGCGCTCGGATGTAGTAATAGTGGCCGGTGACTTTAATGCTCAAGTAGGTAAACTAAGCGATAGGGAAAGACACCTAGGTGGATCCTATGGTGTCGTGGCTCAAAGAACAGATAATGGCGACCGTCTGTTGTAGCTATGCTCGGATAACCGCCTGTTCCTTGCAAATACTAACTTTAAGCATAAGGAAAAACATCTTTTAACATGACGACCCCCTAATTCGTCCCAACGTTGGACCCAAATAGATCACATCGCTATCAGCCACCGCTGGAGGGTCTCGATAGAAGACTGTCGCTCATTCTGGAGCACATGCCTAGATTCAGATCATGCTCTAGTGCGAGCGCGTATTTGCTTGCGTCTTACTGGACGTAGGAAAGACGCTGCAAGGAAACTTATTAGGGTTCTACTTAATGATAGTCAAGCTAAGAGTATATTTCAGGAACAACTAGGAAAACAGTTAGGCAGCCATGTATGTGATGCCCACCCTGAGGCAGCATGGAATGATATCCGAAAAGCTGTGGAAACAGCAGTGATATCTGCTAGTAAGGTAAACCATAAGGTTAGGGAGCAACACTGGATCTCAGCAGCATCTATCTCACTGTTAGATGCTCGGAAACTCATTCCACCTGGCTCTGAACATAATGAAGAGCGGAGTCAGCTTAAACGCAAGCTGACAAGAAGTCTACGCAATGATCGCGAACAGTGGTGGGTAGCGAAAGCAAGAGAGATGGAAAAGGCAGCGGCAATAGGTAATAGCAGACAATTGTTCAGACTCGTTAAGGAAACCGGAATTAGGAACCCGACCGTTAGCGAAACAATCTCAGAGAAAGATGGACATATTATTCATTCTCAATCCAGGAGATTGGATCGATGGGCAGAACACTTTAGGGGTCAGTTCAACTGGCCTTCAGCCACACTTCGGTTTCCCACGATCTCTAGTCAACCTGAATGGCAAGTTAATGTAGGTCCTCCGTCCCTTTACGAAGTTGAAAAAGCCATAGGAAATCTGAAACGAGGGAGAGCAGCAGGCCCTGACAGGTTTACTCCTGAGATTTCTAAGGATGGTGGTCCAGTATTAGCAATGAGATTAACCGAGGTCTTGGGTAGAATCTGGGAACTGGACGTAATCCCATCTGACTGGTCTCAATCACTGATTGTGCCAGTCTATAAGAAAGGACAAAAGTCCTCTTGTGACAATCACAGAGGAATCAGTTTGACTAATATAGTGTCTAAAATATTGGCCTCAATAATACTTCGACGCCTAACTAAAGCTCGTGAAGAACAGACTAGAGAAAACCAGGCTGGTTTTCGACCTGGACGTGGTTGTATAGATCAGATATTCACACTACGTCAGGTTCTAGAACAGAGACACACATTCAGACGCCCCACAATGGTAGTATTTCTCGACCTTAAGGCGGCATTCGACTCCGTTGATCGTGATGTTCTATGGCAGTGTTTGTCACTGAAAGGAGTACCAAAGAAGTACATTAACCTTATAAAGGCTCTCTACTCGAACACAACTGGTAGAGTGAGAGCTTATGGCGAACTGTCATCAGAATTGATTACCTCAAGTGGTGTTCGTCAGGGCTGTCCACTCTCCCCATTCTTGTTCAACTTTGTGGTCGACGTACTTTTAGAGATAACACTCTCATCATCTAAATTTCCAGGGGTTGAACTTCTACCAGGAGGATCACTTGTTGACTTAGAATATGCAGATGACATAGTTCTGTTTGGTGAAGACGCTGACAAAATCACCGCAAATCACCAATAACTACTCCTTCGACGGTTTCACGACATATCACCTCCAATGGGCTTACACATCAAGCTCGAAACCTCATGAACGTCAGTCTGTTACAGTGGGTAGGGAAGGCGAGTGGTCCTTACTGAGAACCTACTGACACATAAATTAGGAAACTTCGTGTAAAACTGAGGCTGGTTTCCGCATCAAACAGTTGCGAAGGTGAGAACTAATTATTCTTACTTGGCCTCACAACTACGATGGTTGGCTTCGTTATACGCTTTTACCCTCTTACACAGAACGGGAGGACAATGACCATCTTGCAGCCAAACTCTTCATGAGTCACGTTGAGTAGTAAGGAAGCACCAACGCATTTGACAGAACATGAAATACACGCCTATGATTTTACTCACCCATATGGAGTACCAACGCGTTGCTTTCGTGTCGGACTGTGATATGATTAGGTTTCAAGTCACGACAGTCGCTTAACTGGACGGGAAAGATACGCTAAATGCACTGTCATTCACTGCTTGGACCTAATTGCTCATCACACCGTACCATATAACCGACGTAAAGTTGCAGCATAGCAGGAACTGATGATTAAAGTTTTTGTTGAGAAGTAACGAGTACCCGATTATAATTGTATTTAGTACAACCTGTGCGGTTTACCCATAGTACTCTTAATGTACAAACACCTGACGTTTTGCCAATTCTTCTTCAATAGGGTTACAAGGAAGTTTATTGACAAGTTGATATTTTGAGCCAGCTCCTCAGGAGTCATTTTTACGTGGCCAACAGCGACATTCAGGCAGAGAACCTTCTTCATCTGGAATTTGACTGTAGCTTTTATTTCGTCAACCTTATTCATTAGTGGCTCGTTGTGTGTGACTGCACTTGGAAACTTTCCATACTTGGTTAGGATTGGAACCACTGTCCTTGTAAACTGACGAATGATGGTTTCACTAGCGACAAAAGCGTGGTAACTCTTGGCTGCAAACATTAGTGCATGATGTCAACTTACCGAATTTTTTCAACGGCTTCTTCTCTTTGCCGAATTTCTTCAATTCTTCCGCATCCATACATGGAATTCCTGCTGCTTTGGCCTCGTCACAGTGTTGTTCGTCCCCAAGCACACACACAGACATTCTGGGACGAGGAATGTGCTTTAGTCTACAATAAGATCCCACTTGTAATATGCGGCGATCGGCCTCCCCACACAATTTTAGAACCCTGGGTAGGGGTTCATAAACTTACCGCACAGTGCCGGTGAATCTCTTGTCTTTCTGAACGTCATAGTTTTTCAACGCTATTTGTAGCTCAACAGTTTCGGTAAACTTTCGTTTCTTCACTTTGTTGCTGTAATCAATAATATCAGCACATGACCGCAGCAGAAGATCCTTCGGTACCTTACTAAAAAAGAAAAACTTAGTTAGCGCAATTTAACATATTAATGTCAGAACTTCTTAGAGGGGAACAATCACTAGTCTTTAGGAAGCTATCATCACCATAAAAACGATGCTCACCTCATGACCACGCTCTAACTACTGAATAACGCTGAGCACTCAGATCATTAGGCGTTCAAACAAATTTCAACCTTCAACATCTTCACTCTTTAAAGTCCCACTAAACATAATAACCATCCAAGATTTCATCTATTTATTTCTTCAGTCCTTGTAGTGAGACTTGGACATGATGAAGCAATCATTTTCGATCGACTTTCACCTGTGATTTGTGAAATACGTTCGGAGCCTCAACTCTCGGTCTTCAAGAGCAAACGTAGTTTCAGCAAAATATCACTGAGCCCTAGCCAAATCATAGGGCATTTGGGTCAGTGAATATCGAAAAGATCATGATAATATTATTGATAATAATACATCCTCGAATAACAGTTGGTTACATGAGGCATGCCAGTTTCCAGTCAAGATCTGTCTGTTAAATTACCAACCAATCGGATGTATATCCAATACGCAACAAGAACGCACATCTGTTTGTAACTTACCCACTTGTATAAGCACGATAAGACTAACTGTCGATCATAAATTCATCTTTCTGCTTAATGGTTATCAACCATCTTTCAGAAACTATCTAATAGGATGTTTTACTTGCTTGACCACTGAATGCCTAATTTTCAATTGCTGAAATCCTTGGTCAAACAGAGGATGCGAATGCTAAAAAGTTACTGTGGGTTTGAACCGTAAATTTCCTACAATCCTGGGTTTCTTTTAGACTGCTTGTCAGTTAATGTTTCGTATTTGGCTTAAACTGGTTTTGTGCTTATACAAATACAGTCTACAATACTATGTTAATCCAAGAATTTAATCAACAGTACCTCGTATATAATTCAGATTTGAAATAATGTCTACCTCAAATTCTCATTACTTGGAAGCAAGGGTAACCCAGGGGAGTTTCATACTTGTATTAGATAATTTCGTACCATGTTTTCGGTGCATAATAACGTTTCGTGGTTTCTTTCACACAGAGTAGTCATATATTCAGTCACTGCAGTCAAATCTTAGTCGAAATCATGCACATTTATCACTTGTTAGCTGACATACTATGGAAAAACTTATTGTATGTACACGAGCAATCTTAATCCATATCCTAATTAGACACTTCGTCGTACGTAATATATCACTTTACGTTAGATAATGAGCTCTTTTCATCAGCCTTTTACGAAATGGTCACGTTATCTGAACCTTCTAGAGTTTAGTTACATTGGTAATTACCAATTCTACCAATGTTCACCATAGGCTTCGCTATTACACGTCAGTCATTTTAATTCCGTTTTCGGTTTATTTACATGCAATACGGGCTTGGAAAACATTTAAACGACATCTGAAATTCTTCAGGAACCCCACCATATTCTTCATATATATTTTCATTCACACATCCAACTGTTACACTAAAAATACCTGGGTATTCAGTGCAACTGTCTGTATACGTAAAAACGGTGTTATTTCAATGTGACGTTATAACATATCCTAACTATTGTAGTCACTCAACATCGACGTCCTACATCATTTTACGAAGTAGTTTTTCCTAGTAGTTATTATCCAGCGAACGATTTCAAACATCAGTTGACTATCCAAACACTCAACGATTTAAAGCTGTCCAATGCAATTGGTGGTCTAACGATACTATTTTTCGCGCGTACCGTCAGTTTACACAGTCGAGCGAATCTCCTGTAGATTGAAAACGACATTGTCGTCTCTATCCCGACACTGACAGAGTTTTTACGCCAGTATCACTGATATAAGTCCAGAGTGATAATCTTGGTTTCCTATATTCTTTTCGTCATTTTTTCGGTTCACTTATCAAACAGACATGGATTACTCACTGTTTATCATCTTTTAGAGACTTCATCGTGCCACCTTTGCCGTCGATTTGTAGTCTTCGACTCCTATTAATTGTAACAGCAGTCGTTGGCCTTTTAAACTCTCACTATAGAATGAACAATAGCTTCACACAACGAAAAATAGATATAACTAAAATTCAATGCTTAAGAACAGGGGCTGTTAACGACACTGTCTGACTTTAAACCAATGGTAGTACAAACATAGTAATCGATCGATAATACACTTATCGTACTATCACTCTAGCATCATTATTCTTGCGGCAAACTTAACGTTTCTCATTTAGTGAACTCAATCACTTGTCAAAGCTATCTTTTTCAATACGGCTTGATAGATCTTCGAAACATTGTTTTTCCCATTATTTCTATGGGTAATCGTCCTAGTAACTTATTATTACTTTCTGTTTCCGGATCAGTTTCTGCTGCCTTTTTCCGAGTTGTCTTGCAGCTCGGCAACACCAGTCGCTTAGCAACCCGCGGCGCGCGACTACCGCCAACATATTTGGTATCGATTCAAACAGCCGTTGAATCTGGCAGGAGAGTGTTGTGGAGTCAGTGGGATGTCACTGAGCCCTTGCCAAATCATCCGGCACTTGGGTCACTGAATATCAAACAGATCATCAGCATAATAATTTATTCTCAAATAACAGGCTGGTACATGAGGCATGCCATTTTACAGGCAAGATAAAATTGTCGCAGAAGATACAGTCTTCGCTGTGGTGGGTTGCTCATTTAGTTTGATATTTTATAAGGTACACTGGTCATAAAATTATTGGAGATAAGACATTTAGTGTGACGTCGAGTCGCGGTTGACTATAATCACTACAAGAAGGTTGCGAACCAGATATAAGAAGGCGATTGGAGGTTGTAGCGAGAAATATTTGTTGGCGATCTCGTGGCATCGAAAGAATACCGAGATCGCGCCGAAAGAGTACAAGCGGAATCACCAAGCAAACGTGAGCGCGTGCAATCACAACTGATCGGTAGATGGGTAATTGTAGGACGAGAGGGTTGGCAGAGCAGGAGGCGATCGTTGATCCTCGAGTTGCCACCGAAGGTCTTTTACGCAGAACGATACCAGGAGAAACGTGACGTATTTGTTGGTCGAGTTAGTGTACCACACTAGAGTGGTCTGTATCCAGGATCTGAGGATTGCGTTCGCAGTGGTGCGGACATAGGACGGAACCACATTGAGCCAAGAAAACAGAAGCGACCATAACAATCAAGAGCGAGACCAAACATATGCCAAACAAATTCGAAACCAGAATATCGACTGAGTGTGTTGACAAGAGCGTGAGCGATCAGGCCAGCTTTCGCCAAGGTTGACTGAAGTCGACGGTACCAAGAGGGAGATGGTCGGAGGCGTGGGCTCAGGATACCAAAAAATCAAAGAAAAGGAGAAAAGGTGTAGCATGCATGTAGTATAGGAATAGTCCTACACCGTATCCGGTGTTGATTTTGCGGTTAGCCGCGAAAGCGTACGGATAGGCGTACTCGGCGACTGGAACGTTAGACGGCAGTCTCGTCAGTACCTCGTGAGCCTGAAATCTCATTCGAAGTCAAGGGCGGCGTGCTCTGCTGATCTGGACGTGAGACTGAAGTCTCGTCCGTCGATGGTGCAGATGACACGTGCTGTTGACTGGAACGTGAGAATGAGGTCTCTGACGGCTGCTATCCCCTGCTACTAGACACGGAAGCCTGTTAAGCGAAAGCTTCTTCTATTCAGTCCACAACCATTTGAACATATGAACTAGGTGCTGAGAGGCTCGCTTATCACAAGTTTCTTGCAACGATTAAGTAGATAAAACAAAGTAGCATTAGATTCAAAAATTTATTCAAGAACTTTCATTAAGAATTGAATATCAAAGGTTTAAACCAAGTTCCCGTTTAAAAGTTGTATTGGTAATGTTAAGCTGCAGTTTTTGTTGTTCTTTTCCAAACGAAAGGATAAAAGAATTAATTCAAAAAGTACTGGAAGTAGTTGTGAGGCTAAAATAGACATCCAGCATCTTTCTTATAATCTGCTGTTAGTTGGGTCTCCCGTAAACAGTTTCATAGGGTCATAGCTCTAAGGGCGAAACAGTTCTTGGATCTGTGAAGGCTCACTCCTGTTGCATTCTAAATGAGAAAATAGTAATGAATTTAGTCAGAAATGTGGAATAGATAAATAACTAAATTACATGTTTCTTAGCAAAGAATTTATGCAGTTGTGATTTACCTTGAGTTCATGAATATTAGATCAGGTCAGCTACTATTACTTAATAATAATATTAATAATTTATTCTCAAATAACAGTTTGTTACATGAGGCATGCCAGTTTACAGGCAAGATCAAATTGATATAAATGATACAATATACACTGTATTAAATTACATAGCTGGGTTGAAAATTTATAAGACATGAATGTAGATTGTTTTAATCAGTACTACAGTTGGCGCGCTTCACGAGAGTTGCGTTGCGAATGTGCGACTGATGGTCAAGAATAGGTCCATTGAAGGTAGGAGCTTCTGAATGTCGCAACCTTATGTCCCTTTGGGATATCCAAGGCTTTAAGGATGGTGCAGGATGAAGTAACCTGTTCCATATCTCAAGGGGGCTGAAAGAGGGAGCAAGTAAAAGAAAACACGAGAGGCAGAGTAGCCAATATTCATGAAGGAATGTTTAAGGTATGATTACTCAGTTTAATTTTCTTTTATTAAGGTATTTGTTAAGAAAGAGCATTTTAATAGGTTAAAGAAAATAAGCTTTAGCAAGGTGTGAGTGGATATACAACTGACAAATGGAGGCGATTCGGAAAAGAGCTGAGAGTATAAGATTATGTGTGATTATAAAATAAAATATAGTGCTAGAAACAGTATTGTGATATACAAATGGCTGTCTTCCTTGTATTATCGAAGCTATTAGAGCCCCTTTTGTTTTTTTCATTTGTTTTTTTTCCAGGTTTTATAGGGTCTTGAGTAAGCTTCGTATATTAGCGAATTGTCTAGTTTGCTTGTAATAGGATTTCTGAGTAGGAAGTGAAACCAATTCAACGTTCGTAACACGATTTAATGAGGTATTTTGCGTGATAAATCAGCTTCTATACCATAAGTCCGTGACATCCCACTAAACCATAAGGAGCCGTAATTAAACAAAATGTTCTGCCCTACAGACATGGGTGGATTGAAGTTATCTCC